TATGTAGGAAATCAGGGAGGAAACATGAGCAGCCAAATGTTACTTTACTTCAAAAACTTGAGAGTGGGATTGGTGCAGAATCCCTTGGAGAAACTGGTCTTTATAATTTACGTAAGTTTTCAAGATCTCAATTGGAGTTAAACAAAGAAGGATGCTCTTCCCTTACTAGAATTGTTGTTTTGAAACCAAAGCACGGAAAGGCTGAGAATTCTGCAAGATGTTTCCCTTCTTTGAGTTCCCTTGATGTTTCTCATTCCAGTGATAGCAAGTGCACGGAGTTTCCTAGTCTTGGTAGTGGGAAAATACATGTTCCAGTAAAAGAAAGGAAGAACTTGGCATATGACATGGAACCAATAAGCTTAAGGTCTAAATTTTCTAGGGAAATAAGGGGGAAGCTTGGCATAGATACTGGGTGCAACAAAACCAACATTGATACAAAGGTGTCATGGTTAGGATCCAGAGGTTGCAACTCCATTGTAGTGGAATCTGAATTGACGAGGCCTCCTTCCTTGAGAGAGCAGTCCTTTTCTTATTCAGATGAGTCATATGTAGCCAAGGAAGCCAGGAAGCAGCTTTCAGAACAAGGGAAGATGACTAAAGAGTGTGAAGAAGTAGGAATGGCTGGCAGAGGCACTACCCTTGGGAATTGGCTTTCCATGCTTGGCCACAAAACAGGGCCCAGAAAATTGGATTACAAGTTTGGTAGGCATTTTCAACCAAGAAGAAAGCTTGTTACGCATGACATTAAAAACCTAGACCTTAGTAAGTTTAGAACACAGCAAGATAAATATGAAGCTCTTTGCAATGAGTGGAATTTCAGGAGGAAAGGGTCTATTAAATTGGGGCAGCATAAGTCAAGGGAGTACAGATTCAACCAGAATGATGGTTTTAGACCTATAAAGTTGAGATCCATCTGTAAGAAATTCCAATCTTTTCCTGGCCTGGAATCAAAAGGCAATCACGCAGTAGAAAAGGCTTCAAGAAATTCTGAGAAGTGGCAATCTGGAGCCAGAGCCTGCATCTCTGTAGACAAAAACAATGATTCTTTCCGTCACATCTCTGATACTTCAGTTCAACAGGTTTGGTGTTTCTCTCTTTAGAGTATAGGTATTCCTTTGTCCATATTGCTGGGCTGCACAGTGGTGATAGTTCTACCCTCCCAATGCCCCTTCCGTATTCTTTATTTGGTCAAAGCTTTTCTATATGGTTTGTTTATTGTATCAGTTTACTGTGATAATCCATATCTTTAAGAAAAATAAATTACTTGTTGCTTGGTTTTTCATGATATCAGTACTGTCCTGTGACACTTTCTTCTAAACTATTGTAAAATTGCAGGAAACATCCTACAAAGAAAGTTCTTTTCTTTTGCACTGCTCCACCACACAGCCGGATTGTATGGTGAGCTTGGAGGAGGCTTATCAGCCTAGTCCAGTTTCAGTTCTGGAACCACCATTTAGAGGAGAGAGGTCACCTACACCAGAATACCTGGGAAAGCTCAATGTTGACATCAGTGGTGAGTTGACTAGAAGATCTATATCTAAAATATCAACTTAATTTTATTTGTTCATGCTTTTGAAGATGATTTTATTTGCAATATATTTCCATACTAAACTTGTATATGCAACTCGCATTTTTGAAATCAGAGTACTCCGATACATACTCGGAAGGATCTGGAGTTGTGTCAAGTGATGATGATACTAATGAAGGATCTGCAAGCAATTACAGAGAAAATGAAGATTTAATGAGACTGTTCAGAGTTGAAGAAAGTAGAGACTTTTCCTACCTTGTTGATGTGTTATCAGAGATAGGTTTATATGATAGGCACTCAACCATGGACTTTGGTACCTGGCACTCTCCGGAATGGCCAGTAAGCCTTTCTGTCTTTGAGACCCTGGAGAAGAAGTTTGGTGATCAAATGGCATGGAAAAGGTCAGACAGGAGGCTATTGTTTGACCGTATAGATGCAGGGCTAATGGAGATTCTCCAGCCATGTATGGGTGTTCCCGCATGGACAAAGCCTGTATCAAGAAGGATTAGATCCAGGGCAGGCCAGGAGATGATAGAGGAAGATTTGTGGATGTTGCTTGTTAGCAAAGAGAAAGAAACAAGAAATGACTTAGCAGAAAAGGTGCTAGGAAGCGAAATGGAGATAGACTTAGGAGACGATATTGATAGTATTGGTACAGAAATAGAAAGATTCTTGTTTGATGAGCTTGTAACGGAGTTTGTTAGCTCGGAGAGTTCTTAAACACTCGTGATTATTTTTTTGGTAGAATAATATTGTGTACAAGTTAGACAAAGATATTTATGTATATGTAGCAACAGTTTTGATCAACTGAAAGGGTTTGAAAAGGATATATGTAGACTCCATTTTTTCATATATGAGTGAAATTTAGATGTGGTGCAATTTGAGCTTCTCTCTCTAATTACTTTGCAGTTGTCTCTAGTTAAGCGAAAACTAGTTACTCTCTCAACAGATTTGGTGTCAAGCATTGCCCAGATAGAAGGCATTCCATTATGGATCTGTCTATGCATATGTTTAAATCATTCAACACCAGCTTTTTTTAGCTAAACAACTTCTACACTTCCTGGTTTATATCCCACCAAATCTCAAACGGAGCTTGTAAAATAGAAATTATAGAACTAGCTGCCTTGTGATTGAGTTTGGAAGAAAAAGAATAAAGAAAAAACCAGAAATCTTCTTTTAAAGCTAATTGCTAGGGTATATCAAAGATTCCAAGCCTTGTGAAAGCAAGGATCTTTCTTAGGTGACCTAAACCTCTGTCCATATCCAAACCATTCCTCTTCACTTTAGGGTCTTTACTTCTTAGAGTCAAACTTTAGGCGCCTAAACCAGAACACTAAACAGGAAAGATTAACACCAACTCCATCTGACCAACTCCTTTCAAAATCTCAATCTATACATACATCCACACAACACCCTTCAATCCATAAGCCAAAACAGAAAGAACAAAATATTTCAACTCCCATATTTTAGTCCCCTCTCTTAATCAAATGGAAGCTCACAAAATTTTCTCTGTCACAGCCTACCTACTCTTTCTCACACTCACCATTTTCTCTGCCACATCAGCACGAACTCTCGAGGAGGAGCAGCTACCAGTTCCTGTAGTCCCTCCAGTGGCGTCCAATACAGATGAGACACCTATCATCAATGCTAATGTTGCTGATCAACATACCTTAATCTTCTTTATGCACGACATCCTCGGAGGATCGAACCCCACGGCTCAAGCCATGACCGGGATAGTCAACAGCCCTGCAGCCAATGGCCAACTGCCATTTGCCAAACCCAATGGGGCAGTCCTACCTTTCAACAACGGCGTACCCCAGAACAACAACAACAACGGTCTAATAAACAACAACAACATCCCTTTTCTCACAGGGCTAAGTGGAACAACATCAAATGTGGCACAAAACAAAGGGATCAATGGCGGGTTCGGAAACTTCCCGATAAATGGTGGACAGCTCCAGCCAGGCTCCGTGCTCCAAAATCTCATGTTTGGCACCATGAGTGTGTTTGACGATGAGCTGACTGAAGGGCATGAGCTTAGCTCTGGTTTGGTTGGGAAGGCACAAGGTTTCTATGTGGTGAGCTCTGAAGATGGTACCAGCCAGACTATGGGGTTCACGGCTATGTTCGAAAGTGGGAGCTATGCCGATAGCCTAAGCTTCTTTGGGGTTCATCGGACGGCTGTATCGGAATCTCATTTGGCCATCATGGGTGGCACTGGCAAGTATGTGAATGCCAAAGGTTTTGCCATGGTCAAGACCTTCCCTGCTTCCAATCAGCAGACTGATGGGGCAGAGACTCTGCTGCAATTCACAGTTTATCTCACTTACTAATTTGTGATTGATTGAGAGAGCATTTGTATTTCAAGTTTGTTTTTAAGTCCCAAAAGGAGCAGTAAAAATTTGCTTCTGTAATTTGTATGTGATTTCACAGAAAAAATGACTGCATTTTATTCCCGGATCCTTTTCAACTTTGAACATTTACCAAGCCAATTTTAGACTAGATTTGGTGGGGTGCGCCAGGCCCATGCAGTAGTGCAACGCTTGGGCGACGCGCGACGACCCCAGTAGCAAGCTACTGTAGTGGGCCCTCCCCCTAAAGAAATTAATTTAATATCGTGTGGGCCATTGGCCCACGTATCAGATATTAAACTGATAAGAACAGATACTACACTTGATCTTAGCCAAAAGGCCGAGAAAGGTATGCTTATTCTCGTCTCTTGTTTCTTCTTTTATAGGCCCATTCACTTCCCTACTTGTTTGGTTCAGCCGATGTGGGATTCGCAACGTTTACAAACAACAAACGCTTAAAGGGTGCTACGAGGGCTGAATCTTACGAATCTTATAACAAAATTTCAATATCAAATGTTGGTCCAGCAACATTGTTGACGCTGAAATTATGAAAAAACAAATCATGTGCAGACTTTCTTGACCAAGATGAAGAAATATTCTTAAATTTTTAGAACAGAAAAATCAGTTCATATCAAATTTATCAATGATCAAAAGGGAGAACTTAGCGTGGTCTAGAATCTCAGATTATGTTTAACCTTTGCAGGGCTTTGCGCCTGGCTTTGCATCACCAATTAATTTCTCCCATCAAACAACTACCTTGTAACTCAAACAAATCTCTGTTCTCCATTTGTCAATTTGAACCACAAATGCAGAGGAGCTAATTCATATTATGCAATTGAAAAACATCAACTGTTGGGTTATAAACCAAATCCCATGGTGGGATTCAGCTTTGGATCAAAGAAAAACAGGGTCCCCTGCACATTCACTTTGATCTTGGTTTAAATAAGCAAGAAACAAAGTCTGATAAGAATCATAAGATAGAAAACCCAGAACTTTTTAACAGAGAATTTTCATTTTTCATTCAAATAAAGATACATTAAAAAGATACATCAAATTACACATTGACATTTTCAAGCTCACAACAGGCAACTGCTAAATAAAACTCCCACAAACAAACCCAACTACTCAGAGAGGTAAACACTGATCTGCATTATAGTGTCCACGCCATCAGTCGTGTGCTGGTCCTCCTGATGAAGGCTCTCAATGGCAGCGTACCCATTAGCCATCTCGTACTTCCCGGTCCCACCAATCACAGCAATGTGAGAAACAGGGGAGGCAGTACGGTGGACCCCAAACAAGCTTATAGTGTCCTCCACCTCATCATGTGCGCCATGTTCGCCATGCAACAACACGGTGAAAGCCATGGTGTGGCTGTTCCCGTCCAACGAGCTTGCCAAGTAAAAACCTTGTGCCTTTCCAAGCACGGCAGAACCCAGCTCGTGTCCTTCGGTCAGCTCGTCGTCGATCACCGTCACCGAGCCGAACATGAGCTTCTGGAGAGTGGCTCCAGTCGGCAGCTGGCCCGCCGTGACGAAGGGTTGGTTGCTGCCGCCACTGACAACGTTGTTGTTGCCGCTGTTCTGGATCACTGTGCTGCTCTGTGAGTTGGTGAGGCCGGTGAGGCCTGCGATGCTTGGGATGTTGTTCTTGTTGTTGTTGTGGAAGCCGTTTATGTTGTTGTTGGTCAACGGGGTCCCGCCGCTGACTGGGAAGATGTTGTTGTTGGCCTTGGAGAAAGGGGCGTTGAAAACTGTGTTTGCTACCAGGCCAGTGACCACTCTGACTGATGGGTGTGATCCTCCTAGAATGTCGTGCATGAAGAAGGACAAATGTGGGTTTTCCGCGCCGGGTTTTGCCACGGTGGCGCTGGCAGCGGCGGCGGTTGGGGTGGTGAGTCCAGTTGGTGATGTGGGGATAGGACCTGCCACGGGTGTGGTGACTGGGATTGGGGTACTTGGTGATGTGACAGCAGGACCTACACCGGGTGCCACCCCAGCAGCAATGGGTGCTGGCACGGTGGCAGGTTCCTCAGGCTCGGGTTGTGGTGAGTCAGCTTCTGGTACAGTGGTGACAGGAGGGACTACTGGTGGTGCCACATCAGTCTCTGGAATTGGCGAGTCAGCATCATCCTCCGTGTCATCAACGGTTGTGGTTGAGGGGGCGATGGCGGGGATTTGGCCACTTGGCAATGAGGTAGTGGGATTTGTCTGAGGATTTGTGGTAGGGACAGGTGTTGGGAGAGGATTGGATGCTTCAGGAAGTGCCTCATCAAGGATCCTAGCTGAGTTGGCATATCCAAGGATGATGGCTAGGACCAATATGTAAAGTGTGGCCTTGAGTGGCTTGGAGGTGGATAAAAGAGACTTGGCCATTTTCAATGGATTTTGAAGGAATGAATTGTATCAAGTCTTGGCTCTGGAGAGAATGTATTGGATTTCAGTGAGTTGTGTTTGATGAATGAAATGGTTTGTGTTGTGATATATATAGTTTCCTAGAGTCTCTTAAAGTGATGGAGTTGTTGCACCCTTTATTTTGCAGGGTGTCTTTGGTTGGAAAACCAACTCCCATATCAAATGGAATTGGTGCTTGTTTTTTTAGTAGTTAAGAACTTAAGATGGTACTGGTATGAGAATGATTAGGTGCTATCCACTACAGCCTCTAGTTTTGGCATGACCTGAGTGATAAACTAGTGCAGATTTACACAGGGATCATTTACAGTAAAACCATACCATATGCAAATGGTAAAACAGTAAACATATACCATTTCAGGTCTCGAAAAAACTATGTATGTATATAATCTTCTGTCACATGTCTGTGGCAGGTGGGAGTCAAAACCAGCTCCTTCCATTCCATAAATTTTTGGTTTCTGTCTTCAGAATTAGGGAATGTGATTCTTTGTAACCTGGAAATTGTTTGTAACGAAAGGTTATTCAGCGTCCATAGCATAATCATACGCTGCACAAAACGAAACCCGTCTGTGTTCTTTCCAGAGTGGTAATTCTACTGATTCTTTCAGCCACAAGGCCTGCATCAAGTTCATTGTGTTACAATATCAGGTTGTGTCAAGTGGAGTTTTGGTATACTTGTTCATCAAATTAAAAGGAGTTTAAATCGTAATCAAGTTCTTTCAATTTGTATAAGGCTGTTCCAAAGTTTGAAACTAGGTCATTGTTCATCATCTGGTGTCATAATTGGACAGAAAACTGCACAAGTTCTTTGATAGCATCAGGCGCTATAATTTAGTGTGACTAAAGCAAATAATTTAATTATTATTTTGATTACCCCATGGATTTTGCATTGAAATTCATTGGAGCAAAAATTGGGTGGCCAAGTAAACTTTGCCTGCTTAGGTTCCAACATCTCATATTTAATCTGTGTCACAAATCTGCTCGATCTTTTTCATCCACCAAAAAGAAGTAAGATCCTTTATAAACCCAAATACAGCTCAGGCAATTACAAAACCAAATTCATTAGGACAAAAAAAAGTTGTCGTTTCATAATTGAAAGGATGTCTGTTTGTAAGGTTCTTTGAAATCTGATAAACCAGAAATCTACAATTATAACAGTTCTCTGAGAAAAAGAACAATTTAATGATCTTATACATATGATCTGCATGACTTTTGCCTAACAAGGTTCCTACTAGTACTAGCTGAGATAAACTTTGAGCCTAAGAAGCTTGTTGCCTCCTTCCCCTGCATTTTCCGCCTTAACTGTTGCATAGCCATTTGCACCCACATACTTCCCAATGCCACCAATTACAGCAATATGAGACCCTTCATGCACATCCGTCCGATGCACCCCGAAGAATCTTAATCCATCCTTAAATACACTATCAGCAAAATGTGCAGTCAAGGCCATCATGTGACTGCTGCCATCTTCAGAGCTTGCAACATATATCCCTTGTGCTTTTCCAATCACTTGTGAGCCATAAAACCCTGAACTTTCAAACATGTCCTCATCAATCAGGGTTACAATCCCAAACTCCAGTTCGTGAAGTGTTGCCCTAGTAGGGAAAAATAGTCCGATGCCGGGTAAATCTAGGGTTTGTGTAGTGGGGTTGGTTTCAGGGAGGGGGACTCCTCCATTTGGAGGAAACAGGCCTAATGGCTTTGAGAAGGGCAGCTGACTAGTCACTTTAGTGGTTGCAGGTTTGGACTTGGATGAGGGGTGAGTCACATTAAGCACATCTCGCATTAGGAATGTGATTTCGTGATGGTTGTGGTGAGGGTGCACTGGGGTTGAATTGTCTAGACTTCGAGCGGCCACCGCAGACAGTTGGTTCGTGGTGGTAGTGACTAGGAGGAGGAAGCAGGCCATGGTTAGCATGGAAGGGTGAGTATCCATTTTCATTGTTGAGATTGTGTCTCTATCTACCTTGTTGGTAGTTTATTCATCTATAAAAGGAGAAGACATTAGTGGATTTGGTATACATGGGGTGGGGTGGGTAATTGGAATTAGTTATTCATAAATAGCAGTAATAGTAAAGTATTATAAGCTACTCATCGCTACTTAATAGATAATTAAAGCAAAATCCGTGGTCAAAAGTAGAAAGTAATACCAATTAAACTGAACTAACTATCATGTTTTAACAATTTTGATACTTAATCCATTAAATTAGACAATTGTCTCATGTATTAGAGAACGATTCCATACCCCAAAATTTGTCAATAACAAAGAAACCCTTTTTAAAAATTCACTTTTTTTTTTGGACAGTTATTTTTTGAACAATTGGACAACATTTAAATTTCACTTTTCGTAAAAAGGAAGGGATATTTATTCTGCGGAGAGTGGCGCTAGGCGGGACTTTTTATATATTTATCATAGATAACCAGTATAGCCGCGCGGGACTATACTCGGGTTTTTATTTTTTTTTAAAATTAGTATAGCCGGGCGGCTATATTCGGTGTCATTAACGTTTTTTTAAGCTTTACATGTTTTGACCCGTGGCGCCTAGGAGGTCCTTTTTTAATTATATATATAAATAGTACAGCCGATCGGCTATACTTGGTTTTTTTTTTTAAATTGATAATTTTTTTTTAAAAAGCGTATCGCCGCACGGCTTTAGGCACTAGGCGGGTCCGTTTAACAATATAAATAGTATAGCTGGGCAGCTATACTCATGTTTTAAAATTTTTTATAAATTGTATAGCCGCCCAGATATACTCAGTTTATTAATATTTTTTAAAAGGAGTATAGCCGACCGGCTGCACTGTTTTGACACGTGGCGCCTAGCGCCAGTCGGGTTTCTTTTTTTTCTCTGGTTTCCTAATTGTTTTGAAAGTAGTATAACTGCGCGACTTTACTATTGTTGACATGTAGCGCCTAGGCCCTCATTGGTCTTTGAATTATATAAATAAATAGTATAGCCGCCCAGCGGTACCTGGTTTTTTAAATGTTTTTTAAAATAGTACAGCCGCGCATCTGTACTTGATTTTTCTAAATTTTTTTCAAAACTAGGATAGCCACGCAGCTACACTCGGTTTTATTAATATTTCTTAAGAAAATAGTATAGTGCGATACTTATTTTGACACCTTTTTTTTTTCTTAGTTTGTTACAAAAAAAAAATAGTGTAGCCGCTCGACGTTACTGAGTTTTATCTATTTTATTTTATTTTTTTAATAAATAGTACATTTCACTTGACCAAATTATCAATAACAAAGAAACCCTTTTGAAAAATGTATTTTTTTTTTTGGGCAGTTATTTTTTGAAGAATTGGACAACATTTAAATTTGACTTTTCGTTAAAGGTGGGATTTTTATTCTGCGGAGTGCGGCTCTTTTTTAATTTTTCTATATAAACACATTCCGATATCTTACCACAGTTTCAGTCTTTAACTTAATTTTCAAAACCCTAAAATAAAAGGGGCCTAAACCTCGCAAGGTCCTAACTCTACTTCACCACTCTCCAAAACCCTAAATTGCACTCTGTGAAACCCCAAATTCCTCTGCCATGTATCTTTACAGCCTCACTCTTCAGCGAGCGACGGGCATAGTCTGTGCCATCAATGGCAATTTCTCCGGCGGAAAGGCCCAAGAGATTGTCGTCGCCAGAGGCAAAGTTCTCGACCTTATTCGACCCGACGAAAATGGTAAGATCCAGACTCTACTCTCTGTTGAAATTTTCGGCGTCATTAGGTCTTTAGCTCAGTTTAGGCTCACTGGTTCTCAGAAAGACTATATTGTTGTTGGGTCGGATTCGGGTCGAATAGTAATTCTTGAGTATAACAAGGAAAAGAATGTCTTTGATAAAGTCCACCAAGAAACTTTCGGTAAGTCGGGTTGTCGCCGGATAGTTCCGGGCCAGTATTTGGCCATTGACCCCAAGGGGAGGGCTGTTATGGTTGGGGCCTGTGAAAAGCAGAAACTCGTTTACGTTTTGAATAGGGATACATCTGCAAGGTTAACTATATCATCCCCCTTGGAGGCCCACAAGTCGCATACGATAGTGTATTCGATTTGTGGGGTTGATTGTGGGTTTGATAACCCCATATTTGCTGCCATTGAGTTAGATTATTCGGAAGCCGATCAGGACTCTACTGGGCAGGCGGCAAACGAGGCACAGAAGCATTTGACTTTCTACGAGCTCGACCTTGGGCTTAACCATGTCTCTAGGAAGTGGTCGGATCAGGTTGATAATGGTGCAAATTTACTGGTCACAGTTCCTGGAGGTGGGGATGGGCCAAGTGGTGTATTGGTCTGTGCGGAAAATTTTGTGATTTACAAGAATCAGGATAAACCGGATCTTAGGGCCGTGATTCCTAGGCGTGCAGATTTGCCGGCTGAGCGTGGGGTTCTTATAGTTTCAGCAGCTATGCACAAGCAGAAGTCAATGTTCTTTTTCCTTTTGCAGACAGAGTATGGGGATATATTTAAGGTTACTCTGGACCATGATAATGACAAGGTCTCAGAATTGAAGATCAAATATTTTGATACAATTCCGGTTACAACTTCAATGTGTGTGTTAAAATCTGGGTTTTTGTTTGCTGCGTCAGAGTTTGGGAATCACTCTTTGTACCAGTTCCGAGCAATAGGCGAAGATCCTGATGTGGAGTCTTCCTCAGCTACATTGATGGAAACTGAAGAAGGTTTCCAACCTTTGTTTTTCCAGCCTAGAAGACTTAAGAACCTTGTTAGGATTGATCAGGTTGAGAGCTTAATGCCGATAATGGATATGAAGGTCAATAATCTCTTTGAGGAAGAAACACCTCAAATATTTACACTTTGTGGGCGGGGCCCTCGTTCATCCCTCAGGATTCTAAGGCCCGGTTTAGCTATCAGTGAGATGGCTGTGTCAGAGCTTCCAGGTGTACCGAGTGCAGTCTGGACAGTGAAAAAGAATGTATCTGATGAGTTTGACGCATACATTGTGGTGTCATTTGCAAATGCTACCCTTGTGCTTTCAATTGGTGAGACAGTGGAAGAAGTTAGTGACAGTGGGTTTCTTGACACTACCCCATCACTTGCAGTTTCTTTGATAGGTGATGATTCTCTCATGCAAGTTCACCCAAATGGAATTAGGCATATTAGGGAAGATGGACGTATTAATGAATGGAGAACTCCTGGAAAGAGAACGATCGTCAAGGTTGGCTCTAACAGACTTCAAGTGGTTATTGCTCTGAGCGGTGGAGAACTTATATATTTTGAAGTTGATATGACGGGTCAATTGATGGAGGTGGAGAAGCATGAAATGTCTGGTGATGTAGCTTGTCTGGACATTGCCCCTGTACCTGAAGGGAGACAGAGATCTCGTTTCCTTGCAGTTGGTTCATATGACAACACTATTCGTATTTTGTCATTGGATCCTGATGACTGTATGCAGATTCTGAGTGTGCAAAGTGTTTCTTCAATTCCAGAATCTCTCCTATTTCTTGAGGTTCAGGCATCAATTGGTGGGGAGGATGGTGCTGACCATCCTGCCAGCCTTTTCCTTAATGCTGGTTTACGTACTGGGATTCTGTTCAGGACAGTAGTAGATATGGTGACAGGTCAGCTTTCTGATTCCCGTTCACGATTCTTAGGACTAAGAGCTCCGAAGCTATTTTCTGTTAGTGTGAGAGGCAAGCATGCTATGCTTTGTTTGTCAAGTCGGCCCTGGCTCGGTTATATTCATCAAGGACATTTTCTGTTAACACCCCTATCTTATGAGACACTTGAATATGCTGCCTCATTTTCATCTGATCAATGTGCGGAAGGTGTAGTTGCTGTTGCTGGAAATGCTTTGAGGGTTTTTACTATTGAAAGGTTGGGAGAAACCTTTAATGAAACTGTGGTTCCACTGAGGTACACTCCCAGAAAGTTTGTTGTTCAACTCAAACGAAAGCTTTTAGTAATTATTGAAAGTGATCAAGGAGCATTCACAGCAGAAGAGCGTGAAGCTGCAAAAAAGGAGTGCTTTGAGGCTGCAGGAATTGGTGAAAATGGAAATGGTAATGTTGATCAGATGGAAAATGGTGGTGATAATGAGGAAGATCCCCTCTCCGATGAGCACTATGGCTATCCTAAGGCAGAGTCTGAGAAATGGGTTTCTTGCATTAGAGTTCTTGACCCCAAGACAGCAACTACAACTTGTCTGCTGGAGCTTCAGGATAACGAAGCTGCATTCAGTATATGCACAGTGAATTTCCATGATAAGGAGTATGGTACGCTTTTAGCTGTTGGTACAGCAAAGGGACTGCAGTTTTGGCCCAAAAGAAGTGTAACGGCAGGGTATATTCATATCTATAGATTTCTAGATGATGGAAAGTCCCTTGAACTTTTGCACAAGACACAAGTGGATGGTGTTCCTCTTGCTTTATGCCAGTTTCAGGGAAGATTACTAGCAGGCATAGGACCAGTGCTCAGACTGTATGATTTGGGGAAAAAAAGATTGCTTAGAAAATGTGAGAATAAGCTGTTTCCCAACTCCATATTATCTATTCAAACCTATCGTGATAGGATTTACGTAGGTGACATTCAAGAGGTATCTCTTTCTTCTTTCTCAGTAGTTGTATCAGATCTAGAATTTCTTTTACTTGTTATTTGCTTGTGCCTCTTGTTGTGGTACCTTCCGACTCTTACATTTTCTTTGTAGATACATGTTTATCTGTGAGGTTTTTTAGGTTTTAGACATAAAAAAAATTTCACTTTTGGAAAAAGCCAAAGCTTTTTCAAAAAAGACAAAAAAACCGCTCAACTTTCAAATTAAAGACATGCAAATGTATTGGATTCCTTAGGAAATCTAAAAATAAATAAGGGCATTTTTGTCCATTTTTGCTTCTTTTAAAATTTTTCTCTCTCCTTTTGCTTTTTCTAAAATGTCCCTTATCTGTGTTATGCTAGTATCCTATTTTGTGTCATAGTGTCTCTTCATATGCTTTATCTAAAACTCAAGTTATTTAACCTCTAGAGGCATAGCGTAAATAAGTAAATAGACGCTCAGAAAAGTTTTTAATTCAGAATCTTCTGCAATGGTCAAATAGCGGAAATTTAGGCTAAGAGGTCCAGATACTAATTGCAATTGACATATCTTGTTGCCTGATATATAATGGGTGCAGAGGTACTGGTACATATGATGACTCTGTGTTTGGTGCTTAGTCTTTAATCTGTGTTTATATCCCTGTATCAACTTTTTGTATACCTGATTTGAGGTGCTCTTTGTGGTGGATTTTTGTATGACGTACAGAATCTTATTCTTCTGGCTTGCTGTTCTTGGTTCACTTAGCAAGGCACTAACTATATTTCCTATGATGTTAATTTATTTGGCAGTCATTTCACTACTGCAAGTACAGACGGGATGAGAATCAGTTGTATATCTTTGCTGATGATTGTGTTCCAAGATGGCTTACAGCGTCATATCATATAGATTTTGACACCATGGCAGGTGCAGACAAGTTTGGAAATGTCTATTTTGTGCGGTTACCACAGGATGTTTCAGATGAGATAGAAGAGGATCCAACAGGTGGGAGGATAAAATGGGAGCAGGGGAAGTTGAATGGCGCTCCCAACAAAGTAGAGGAGATAGTGCAGTTTCATGTTGGTGATGTGGTCAGCTGTGTGCAGAAGGCATCTCTAATTCCAGGTGGTGGGGAATGCATCATCTATGGGACAGTGATGGGTAGCTTGGGTGCATTGCTTGCATTCACCTCTCGTGATGATGTTGACTTCTTTTCTCACCTGGAGATGTATATGAGGCAGGAGCATCCACCCTTGTGTGGTAGAGATCACATGGCTTATAGATCAGCTTATTTTCCGGTTAAGGTAATCCAGCGGGTGCCTATTTTTAATTATATGCGATTAATATGGAGATATTTTGAATTTTATTGTTCTATGTCTTGATTTACATAAGCTTATTTTTTGGTTAGAAAGCCTTAATTAATAATTTTGAATCAGTGGTGACAGTATTTTAATTTTGCAGGATGTGATTGATGGAGATCTGTGCGAGCAGTTCCCAACATTGCCTATGGATCTGCAGAGAAAAATTGCGGATGAGTTGGATAGAACTCCTGGAGAGATACTGAAGAAACTTGAGGAAATTCGAAATAAGATCATTTAAGGAAGAGCAAGCTCAAAAGTACCTTCCTGAATTTTACCGTACCTTTGGGTTTAGCATGCATACATCAGATAACATCGTTCTGTCGAAAGGTTCAAGTGGACGAATGCTTGATACTAATGAGAATTTGGTTGACATGCAGTTTCTTGAGTCAATGTTGCTTCGATTGCTGCTGACTGTATGATTGTCTGTTCCTAGTATTGCAGGAGTGGATGAATGTTTCTGATTCAATAAATTCAGACGCTGTGGTTGAGACTAAGCCAAGTATATTGTAAGAAGCGACATGCATCTTTGCAGCCATTTAGACAGCATTCCTTGTTGTTGTAATTATTCAGAATAGATTTCCCCCCCTTTTTCCTTCTCAGTTGAACGATGTTAAGCAAGATTGATTGATGCTAACTTTTCTCTGTATCTGTTAGTAAGCCACTCTGGAATCTTGCACTGAACTTAGATATTGTTGTTGATGTCTTGTGATATTTGAATTCATTGAGAGTCTATTTGAAACGTGAGATTCGACTTCTATTTTAGTAATGTATAATTTGAATTTGAATGAAGGAAAAATAATAAAAATTTCAAATTCAAAACGTTATATTCAATGTCAACTCAAATACCTTGTATTTATATGTTCATTTGCGTACGTATTCTTGCACTCAAGTTCGAGTTCAAATCCCTCTACTCGTTGCCAGTGTGAAGCATCAATGCGAAGTTACTCTTATTGGCAACTGTTTTTATTTCGTCCAATGAATTTTACAAGTGAAAGGGTGTTTAAATTTTACAAGAACGAAACAGAACTAATATCCATGTTTCTTCTTCTTCTACTTGGACAAATCGTCATTTCCACTTTTCAACTCTCCCTCCAACCTTGAATTGCCAAAAGCACTTCTGTTCTCTAACCAGCTGATTATGTCTGAAAACACAATCTCAATGTTGTCAGGTGTTTCTCCGTAGAGCAGACCATGCCACATATTTGGGTACATCTTCAATGTCTTGTCCTGGCTAGAAGCCACGTTATGAAGCTGTTTGCTGACTGATTTATCTGTCACCTTATCGTCTTCCCCATGTAAAACTAGGAATGGCAAGGTGACCTCTTCAAGCCTCTGCTCAAGATCCGAGCTCACCCTCAAAAGCTCGTAGCCGGTTTGAAGCCGAGGCCGGCCTTTGTAACAGTAGGGGTTTTCTCTGATCTGCAATTAAGTTAGAATTATTATTAGCACTGGCCTGCAACTAATTCAGTTTATCATCATATATACATGCACCAAACTAAGTAGGGCAGATATTTTACCTGTTCTCTTATCTCGGGTACTTTGAAAGCAACGTCGATGATATCATTTGTTGGGATTATTTTCCAGGTTGGAATGAACTTGCAGAGCTTTGTCAAAGCACTGATGACGAAAGGAGATGGCCTCAATTCATCTGCAATCTGTAAATAAAAAATGGTTTTAAAAAAACCCCACAAAACGTGTTAGTTTGAGTTTTCATCATTAGGTTGCAATATCTGTAAAGTCCACTAACTTTTTTTTTTTTTTTTTTTTTTTTTTTTTTTTTTTCTCAACAAAAAAGGGTGCCTTCGAAAGTGACAGACCGCTTTCATTTTGAGTAATTTTAAATAAAACCCAAAAAAGAAAAGTAGTTTTAATTGAAAGTTGGATGAAGGGTCAGCTTTCAGTTGGTTAAAATTATATAATTAAAAAGAAAATTGTTGAATGGAAACGTGATAAAAGTAACATTATTTATACTATAATCGCACCCGAGAAAAAAGAGAGGCTAATCTGGAATGATTCAATTATTGTTAGGATTAAGATAAATTTATATTATTATCAACAAACAGATTTGGTCAACAAATTCATTTTTAAAGAAAAAGAAAATATAAGGATAAAATAACAGAAGCAGTCTTTATGTTGGGGTCCAAATCCAAATTGACAGAGGATTAAATAATTATATATAAGCAAACAGAAAACTCGGCTAGAGAAACTCCAAATAGAAGATGGAAAAAGAAGAAAAAAACAAATTAAAAGAAACAGACCTTACACATAGGTGCAACCAAAACTGCACCATCCCAAAACCCTGGCTTTTTTCTGTGCACCAGCAGAGCCACAGCTCCTCCCATTGACTCTCCCAACAGATACCTCATTTTTCCTTTGTTCTCTTTGCTTTCTGAATTTTCCACAGCACGTTAATTCACAGGTCAGAACCAAACAAACAACTTTTGACACAGCCAAATTATTAAAAAGAAAAATAATTGAGTTCAAGAGATAAGAGTGCTAAAATAATCTAACCACATATGTTTGTGAAGTGATTGGTACAGTCATCCACTACATCATCAAAGCTTTTGACATAGCCTTCAAGGCCTGCTGATTTTCCATGGCCTTCATAGTCAATCCCATATAAGGCAAAGCCTGCTTTGGCAAGCCTGATTGCAGTACCTGGGAAAAAAAACAATTTGAAACTCTGTTAATTAATTATCAGGGTTATATATATTTTTTCTTGTTGGGTTTATTATTATTATTTTTTTGTTTGGAGTTGAAATTTGATGGGAAAAGATACAATAAAATTATACAGATATGTGAAGATTAATTTTAATACTCACTGTTCATGGTGATGCTGCATTCCATGGCGTATCCATGACAGATGAAGATTAAGGCTTTGGGTGTGGTGTTTTTTGGGAGCCATCTGCATGTGAAAAGCTTCATTCCTCGAGAATTTAAGATGAACTCCTGCATATATAATTAGTGAATGGAATCGATTTAGAACACACACACAGAAACAATATTTGCCAAAAAACAAATCAAAACCCAGCACAGAACAGAACTAAAGGCTAACCTCCTCATATTTGACACCTTCCATATCAGAGGCCTGCAATAATTGGAAAAGAACAATAAGAAAAGCCCATACATAAAACCAAGATGAGAGAGAGAGAGAGAGAAAATACCATGATGTGTTAGAGTGCTTGATATCAGGAAGAATGCTAAGAGTATGAATGAGAGAAATATATGGCAACTAGAGAGAAGTATTGGGAAGTTGATATTTGTCTATATAGAAAACTCTGGCTTTGCCTGTCCTGGCTATGATAGGAGAGAGGGAGAGAGCAAAGCCAATATGTGTATATATATATATATATAGGGAGAGAGCAAAGCCAATATGTGTATATATATATATATATAGGCCCGGCCTTGGAGAGTTAAATGCGGTCAACTTGGGAAACCCTATATATTTGGACTTTTTTATAAGGTTCAGATAAAAATTATGAAGTGGAAAATAGAAGAAAGAAGATAAGGGACGTGACTGAAAATCGCATAAGCCAACCTGACAGACACGCCGTGGTTGTAAGCCTATATTCTAACATTTTAGTAACTTACAAACAACCCCACATGCTCTTACTTTTATGCATCCAACCAAATTAGAACAAACCAATTGCTAATATAATACTAAAAGATGAAAATAATAAAAATAATTGGTGCAAACAATTTAAGCATCTTAATTTGGGTTGCTAATCAGGACCAACCTTTAGTTTAGCAAACCTGGGCTATAGCCCAGGTGGCTTCTTTTTTCTACCTAAAAAAATAAAATCCTAGCTCACCTAGGGACTGACCTTTAGTTTGGCAAACCTGGGCTATAGCCTAGGTGATTTCTTTTTTCCAGCCAAAAAAATAAAATCCTAACTCACCCAATTTAAATAATCTAACCTCATTTAGTTCTCCTCTTTGCACAGCACGTAGTCAATGTGGGAACTCACACACAGCACACCAACAAAAAAAGAAAAGAGAAAAAATAACTCATGCACAACACATATAGGAAAGAAAAAAAAACCGCCCTACCCTTGCATGTAGAGAAAAAAAAATGCTCTTGTTGCTGCTGCACTCACCTTCAAGACTTAATTCAAGTGAACCATTCGTCATGTAAGCTTCTCTCAATTTCTTGATGCTTTAATTTGAGAATTTTTTTTGGAGTTTATGAAGTATCAATTGGGATTTGCAATTGACACTATTGAATTATCAATTAGGATTTGCAATTAGGGCATCAGTTTCAGTTTATGAGTTATGAATTATCAAATAGGATTTGTAATTGATTTTATTGTTCTTGCTGTAATTTTTGTTTTTTTTTGTTTTTTGTTTTGTTATCAATGAAATCACATAGTATTATTGAGTTTTCTATCTACTTAGTATCTAAATTTAGCCCAGCCCATTTTAAAATCCTGGGTTTGTAGTTGCTAATAATTCTTGCATAAAATAAAATAAAATAATTTATAATTATTTTTTTTGGTATTGATTTTTAATTATTATGACAAGGGCATGTCATTTAGTTGGCAAGAGACATTAATTATATACTAACAAAAAGAAACAAACCCAAAAGAGATATTGACTGTATTTATTTTTGCACCTGTTTGAGGAGCCCGGATTACCCCTCAAATTGACAAATGGATGACATGGGGGAGGGAGGAGATCAGTTTTCTGCATTGCAACAACATGTCCCGGTCACCTTTTCTGGATGTCTAGTTTCCTCTTCTTTTGATTTTTCTGGTCAATTTAGGGGACTAGAGAGATAAATCTCCATTGCCGTCTTCTTTGTCTCCATTGCCATATTATTTTTTCTTCTTTTGTAGGTGCTAAAATATTTCTCATACCGTATAAGTGGGTTAGGTGCACTGTTTCCTTGTACCCAAATTCGAGTCTCCTTCTCCGAATGTATATACTTACCATATTTGATGAGAACTGTTGGAATTGGAGAAACTAATTTCTAAATTGTTTTTTTAGCAATAATTTCTAAAATGTTTGGGGTCAAAAAGAGACGTTTCTATTATTTTGATGCTTTTGACTAGGCACACGCATGGGATCATGAATTCCACGAGCACCTGCCTTTCTTTTTATTTTGGACCGACGTGCAATTATTTATACATGTACAGTATGCAACCTTTGACCCTTCTTTTTATTTTATTTCTTATTTTGTTTGGTCGCACACCTTTGAGCCTTCTGAGTTTTATTATTTAATGGATAAAATTTTACTTTCCATAAATAAAAAAAAGAGTTATGAATAAAAGAAATTGTCAACGCGGTTGCAGTGAGGCAGGCAACCAATTCCCCCGAATTAAAGGACAAACATGTGAGCAATTTATTTTCAGAACATACAAAACAAAAAACAAAAAACTGAGTAGAAATTGGACCCAAAAAAAATTGAATTTAAGATTGTTTCCATGAATATAAGCCAAAACAGATGCATGGCCTTCGCCTGCATAGGGGGAAGCAGATAGCTTTTTTTTGGTTCCATTTCGTTGGTTATGTGCTTGTAAACCCTACAATGGAGACATGGAAACAATGCAAGGAACGCTGAACTTTTTACTGTTAAACCCTAGAAATGGAGACATGGAGAAAAGGTAAAAATGGTGCTGTTGTTAGTCAAGTATTGCAATCGAAGAAGAAGATATAGTCATATAGTGGCATGGCACCCTATTTAATTCGAAGTTAGATGTCGTGGTTCCAGTATTTAAGCATTGATGATGATATATTCTCATTGCAATAATAGTTATCTTATAATTCTGATTAATAATTTGAAGAGGGTCGGCATTTTGGACTGAGGTGACACCCGCAGCTTAGTGGGCTTAGAACATTAATGGTTGTCTAAATCTATTTTCCCTTATAGTCAATGGAGCATAACTATTTCTTGGAAGATCACTGCAGGTGGGGGTGTGTTGAGGGACTCACTTGGTTTCTTGGATTTGTGGGTTTTCTGTTAATATTGGAATTGGAAATATTATTGAGACTGAGTTATGGAGTCTCCTTAAAGGGTTGTAAATGGCGTGGAATAAGGGTATGAAGTCCCTTGATGTTGAATGCGACTCTTTACCTGTTGTTTCTCTGATGGCCAAGGTGTCTGATCAATCCCACCCCTTGTTTGTCTAATTGAAGATTACAAGTTGCTGCTAAACCGTGATTGGAGTTGCAAGAGACCACCTTGTTAATTTGGGGTATGAATTACCTTTTGGGCTTCATAATTTTGAGTATGCTCCGACTTCTATTTCGAACATCTTATTGGACGATGTGCTGGAAGGGCCCTTGAGAGGGCTGTGATTTGTTAGTTATTTCTTCTTGTTTCGTCTTGGCTTTGGCCTCCTTGTAACCGAAAAAAGAAGCGTAATCATATCTTAGATATGTATCACTTGTTATATGTTATCACTATCTTACTCAAAGTGTAGAAGAAGCATTTATCTTTTTGAAACAAATGGTATCTCGAGGAAGGGAATCAAACACAAAATCCATCTCAAGTGCATGAATGAATGCTCTTGCTTACTCGAGCAACAAGTCTATGGCTTAAAAACCATCTTTTTATTATTTGAAACGTGTACGAGAAAATACTATCTAAACAATGGTGCCAGATTACTTCGAAAGATTCCTAAAGAGATTTGCAATCAACATAGAGCTGTGAACATGTTGATGGTGGAGTTTTGATCAGAGTAAACTACGGAGCAAATGACTCAAATTTCCTTTCCAGTATATTTCTTTTCAGCAGGTATCACTTTCATGTGGGTTTGCATTATTGTATTAGAAGGAATGCGTGTGGATTGTGTCATGGTTTGCAAAGTCAGGCCAATTAGAAGGAATCTGTTGGCATTCTTACAAAGTCAGATTTCCAAAATCAACTTGTTTTGAGTAATTTAAACATTCATGATATCACTATCCATTGCAGCTATGCTTTAGAGAGGCTATGAATTATGGGTTTGGTTTATATCCTTATCAATGGATATCTGCATCTGGAATAGACTTACATAGATTGATATGAAAGTGACCATACGATTTCAATGGCATGCCTTGTTATTTAAATTATCATTTGTCAACCTTTTTTACACTGCGTATGCAAGGTTTGCTGCTATTACAATTTACAGTGATGTTTTTTTGCCATGGAATTAATTAAGTATTTGATATAACTAGAAATAAAGAGATAAAAGCCGCAAAGGAACTACTAGTATAGTGATTTAGAGCAATTGCTCTCTCCCAAGAAAGGTCATGGACTCATGTATTTGAATCTTAGCATTAATGTGTAGTATGTGTGAGTATATTATCGCCTTTCAATAGAAAAAGTCCTTGAAAAAAAAATTCCCAGTAGAGGAGCTGCTCCACACACGGTCTGAAAATATCTAATTTCCCCCACCCCACAAGTTCATCAAAGAAGAATGGGCTGCATTGATAGGATTAACGCCAGGTCCTCATAATCTTCCTCAAGCCTTATGGGCAAGTTTCAACCCATTGATAGTATTACCAAGGCTGATGGGCTCCATGAATAATTGGGCCAAACTAGTGCCTGTTTGTGTGGACAAACACTTCGCGATATAAAAAAACATTCAGAACCCAAATCAACAAAGCCCAATCTCACTCAACCTAAAAGTCCACAAAGCCGGGGTATATATAAACCCACTAAACCCATGAACACTCATAGTTAGGGTTTCATTTTCCCGTGAAGCTAAGAGAGAGCCGCCGTTGCAGAACTCACAGAACACAGCAATGGGTAATTCCAGTTTTTATTCTTGATTGTGTTTCGTACCGAAAAATCGTCGCTTTCTCTGATCTTTGTTTGTTGTTTGTGAAATGTGACAGCGAGAATCAAGGTACACGAGTTGAGGCAGAAAACAAAGGCTGAGCTTTTGAACCAGCTCAAGGATCTCAAGGCAGAGCTTGCCCTTCTTCGCGTGGCCAAGGTCACTGGTGGAGCACCCAACAAGCTCTCCAAGATGTAACTAACAAAACCCTATTTGTCTTTGTGTTTTTGTTTCTCAGTGATTTTTGCATTTAAATTTTGGTGTGTATGTTTGTGCAGCAAGGTCGTCAGGCTATCGATTGCCCAAGTGTTGACTGTGATATCACAGAAGCAAAAGTCTGCCCTGAGAGAAGTGTACAAGAACAAGAAGTTCTTGCCTCTTGATCTGCGTCCCAAGAAGACCAGAGCTATCCGCCGAAGGCTCACCAAGCACCAGGTACTTCAACTTTTTTGATTGGTTTTACTTATATTTGTGGACTGAAATTGAAATGATGAACCAGTCTGTACTGGCATTTGATGCAACTGTTTGTTATAGTTTAGCTGAAGTTCTAGCACATTAAGCACTGAACCCAACATATAATATGAACCTTTGTATTATATGCATTGGATTTTGTAATTTCAACGAAAAACTGTAGTGCCCAGTTCATTGTGTTGGGGTGTGATTTTGTTATGCTATTGTTTGCACAGGCATCTTTGAAGACCGAGAGGGAGAAGAAGAAGGAAATGTATTATCCCTTGAGGAAGTATGCCATTAAGGCATAGAGTGTTGGATCAATTACGTTAGATCATCTTGGTACCTTGCTGTAATAGAATCCTTTTGTTCACAAGTTTTGGATTTAATTTTGATTAAGAAATTAGACCTGATATTTTGATGTTTAATTTTACTTGTCTAGGTTTGGGAGGCATGTCTTGCCCAAATCAACTTAATTTTCTTTGGGTACAATGATAGTTAAGATTCTGTTTGTGTTTGATAAATGACATGAGCTCTTTTTTCTTTTTTTTGGTAAAACAAGGGGGTCAAACCCCAAAGACATGAGCTCATTATTCCCTGCTTATATTGGCTGATTTACTGAAAGCATTTGACCATCTTTATTTTTACATTTCATTTGGTTTGGTTAATCTGTTTTGGGAGACGTTTGGCTGGCTGCTTTGGCTTAAGGCTTTGTTTGGCATCAGGGTGTGTCTATATGATGTCTCATTCCCATTCTTGGGCCTGAACTAGGTTTATTCTGAAAATCATCCACTTGAAAGCATTTCCAGTGCTGTTCTTACACTAGATTTGTTTTATGAGATCTCTATTTCCTTTGTTATATTTATAGATGATCACTAATTTAGTACACTGTCAGCTGTCGAATTGATTACAAGTTTGTCATACACGTAAAAAGATCCTGGCTTGATTTCAAATGATCAATGTCTGTTGTGCTTGTCTCTAAATTACCAATTAAGTGTAGATGCTCTTTGATCTTAGATTGGAAATACTCTGGTTCTGTGAGAAGTGCCAGTGTTTTCAAACCTTGGCACTTGCTACTGATGCCAAGAGATTTGGTCTTGCAGCTGTGGCTGCATCCCCTGTTGCTAGTTTTCAGTTTTCCACCACTTTCACATTCAGATGTAGGTTAAGTTCGTTACATTGCCTCTATCGTCGAGGAGCCAGAAATCTCTGAGGCTGTATTTGCTGCATCTCTTGTGAATGGTCAGTATTTAACATTCGGGTTATTTGACTCTTGATTCTTTGGGATTCTTAGGCATGTAAACCTTTTGGCGGGCTTTGTGTCATTGGGCTTCTAGTCTTGTTGTTAGACTACGTTTGGGCCCTTTGGTTTATGGGTGCAAGTGTTCCTCGTTCCATCTTGTGCTGAATCAAAAAAAAAAGTTGGGAAGGTTCGTTCCTAGTTTGTTTGACCAAATTTTTATAGGAAAATCGCGGTTTGTTTTGGGTGACATCAAAACCCGCCATTTTTAAACCTTGAAATGGATGTTTCATTTTAAAATTGAATGGCTGCCGACTTCAAACTTTAAATAAATATAAGAACGAGTCAAATGGGATGGGATGAACGATCCCTGTTCTGTGGCGTGGCTGTTCATTCAACTAATTTATAATTCATTTCCAGTTAACTAATTTCTTCAAGGCAAGTCAAACAATTTATCTGTAGGTTTTTTTGTCCTCTGCTTACGAATTATTCAGGACAAAAAATTAGTTAGCACATGTGGTATGCTTCTCAATTGTTTGTGCCATCTGAACAATTAAACAAGTCTTGAAATTGGGGTAATTTTTATTATTTTTGGGGGTATTAATTAGATAAAGAAACATAAACAAAGTTTCAAGACAAATAACCACTCAAATGTTTATTTATTTAATGTCAAATGAGTTGACAGTGTTTTTGTTTTCTCGCATCCGATTATTTATTTTTTGATTTAATTTATTTTTAGCAATATCTGACACGTCATATGTATTGAAAAACTGAGATTTGTTTTGATGAAACTTGACTTATTCATAAAAAAAAAATAAAAAAATAAATAAAACTTGGCTTAGAATCACAGCCTTACAATTAGTGTATTAATGTCAACGGGTACTTGCAGGTTAGAGGTCTCAAGTTCAAACTTCCATGAAATCCTAATTTTGTGTGTAAAAACCCCCCTCCTATATAATTTAGACTAAATCCCTCCAAAAAAAATCATTGGCGTTCTATTGCGGCGTTTGACCTTTTCTTTGCTCTGTCTTCAACCTCATTTTTATATGAGTAATGCTACACTTACCACATTATTATCCCACATTTCTATACCATATGATATGGCATATCCATATTATATGCCACATCAATTAAATGAATGAAGTGTATTTTAATAAATAAAATTAGAAAAACAGAAACTAGTATTTTACATGATGTGGTATGTACACATCAGCTGCCACATCAAGTGGTATAAAAAATATGATAAGACTAGTATTATTCTTTTTATATTACAATGGAACCCTGTTTTTGTTCTCTTCCCTCAAAATAAAAATGGCGACACGTCATCATACTGATTTAAAGGCTTTGTTGCTTCCATCAGCAGCATCACATTGCTTTCAAGTCTTCATTTGTGGCGGTCCATTTCAGTTTGTTGCTTGTCTTGTGTATAAACCTCTCGAATGTGCACTAAGTCTTGAGCTGTACTTTTTATTCAAAGATTCGAATTGTTAACAACCAAAACCTTTTCATACTTCTGGACCAATTAAATTTGGTAGTTATATATATGTAGTCTCTCATTCAACGACAGCTACAGCTTTGTTATTATTTCTCATCAAATTCTTAGGAATAATCGAAGGATAATAACCCTCTGTCAAATTAAAACAAATTTCTGATTAGTATTTGAATTGGTCGTTGGACTTTGTGCAATACATGGATGTGCATTTAAAACTGCGATTTTCTCTCTTATTTGGCTCATGTATGTATAGGGTGAGAGGCTCGAGAAGACAATCAACACGAATAACACAACAACACGCATATTATAACACATGAATTAATAATTCGTTATTCAAGCAAACGCATAAATGTCAGTTTGTAGAGGTCTCTCTAGTCTCCTCAAAGAATATTGGGTGGATGAGATTAGTGGTGCAATTTGCCAACATTGGTAATCATTATTATTGCTTATTAAGATCTAAGGCTCCCGTCATTTTCGCCTCGTGTATGCATCTTAAGAGACTAACTAGTAACTACCAAATAACGATATAACGGGCAGAACCCGTCAGAGTGGGAAAGAGAGAAAAGAGAGAGCCATGAGAAGTGCATTGCAATTTCGAATTTATTAGGTTTGATTGGCTTTATTGGGAGAAGACCCACCAATTGCTATTGTCTAGTTTAAGGAAAATGCATCTCTTTTTCTAGGTATGAAAAATGCAAGTGCTTAAATTAGGTTTCTAGATGCAAACCACCAAACCCCTCATTTCATTACGTACTTGTTAGTTTCAACATTGTCCCAGTTCTCTGTTTACTAGTCATGATAAGCTTATCTCTACCTAGCTAATTGACAGCTTATCACAATAATGAAGAACATTTGAAACCCATAATATGCACACTTGTATCATATTTAGTGATGACCTCTCGAGACGGGACTCATCTAAATAAGGTTCATGTGTGAAGAGATGAATCTATCTTTATTAGAGATGCAGTCAACAAATTCGATCCATATAATGACACTTTTTAAATTCTTTATTTATGGTTGTCAGTTGTAAATGCATGTGGGATTCACTGTGAGATTCATGTATATTACGTGACATCCACGTACACAATCATTCTTAACATTTTCTCTATAACATGGTGCACAACAAAGAGTGTGTGCATCCGCAATTGCTTACTTGACACCAAGTTAATTAGGATTTCATTATTTGAATAAAAACAATGCAATTATTGTTCAAAGGAAACATGAATTGGCATGCGTTTTTGGAGGCAGCTGCTTACGTACATAGCTAGTGGTTCTTTACCAAATTTACATGGGGTCGATCTTGCTTTTTCCAAAGACTGGGAGCACGAAATTTGGGTGTGGCTTTCTATTTGTCTTCTGAAGAAGAAGAGGGCAAGCAAAGCAATCCCAAGTCTATCAAGTCAGTCACTTTTGTCCTAGTTTGGAAGACTCTGGAACTGGCCGAAAAGAAAAAAAGGGTTTACAAGTCCAGGTTGCTCAAAGTCCTTAAGAGAGAGACAGTTTCATTAGTTAAACCCCAAATCCTCTGTTTCCATGTTGCTTCCTAGTCGAGTCTACCCTGCATTTTGGAGTATGTCATCTCTCTTGTCAAGCCGGTTTATACTGATGACGATATTTATATTAATACTAAGAATGAGATCAGCTGCAGAAATATGAAGTGGCGTTGCAAGGCTGCAGCCTGACTATGACGCATTCATTGAATATGATTTTTATAAAATGAAACCAAGAAAATTCAATGCAAAAAACTGCTTGACCAAGCTAAAATTAGAATGGCTACTATAAAATATAAATTGATTTACTTGGGTCTTTATTATCCAGTGGGACACGTAGACTGTTTGCCAGAGCCAGTCAAGTCTAAAATTCCAAGCACATCCACCTCCCTCAATTGGGAACCAACGGCTCTCCTCTATAAAACACTTCCAAAGCCAAACCACCATAACCAAGAAAAACAGGCAGTGAGCTCTCTCTCTCTCTCTCTCATCTTTGAGCTTACAAGCTCTTCTTCTTCTCCATCTTAGCACCCTTTCCAGGCTCAATGATGCTATCAGTGACCCCTAAGAGTGGTGCTACTACACTCACACCAAGAAAAGTAACGCCAAGCCGCTTTTTCTTCCAATCTACCAAAACCAATTCTTCTTCTTCATATTCACTTTCAAGCTCTTGCACTGCTTCAACCCCTGCCCGCACCTTCTCTCTACTGATGATGGAAGAAAACATCGCAATTGCTGAATCCATCATCACCAAATGGGATCCAAACTCTTCCTCATACATCAAAATCACTTTTCTGTTCCAGCATAGCAGAAAAGAAGCCAAAGAGTTCCTCAAATCCGTAAACTACTTGCGTAGTGCTATGCATGTTTTAGCTGATGGAAACTTATCCAGCAAGCTTGTACTTGCTCAAAATCTAATGCAAACAGCGATGAAAAGGCTTGAAAAAGAGTTTTACCAGATATTGTCTGCAAACCGGGATCACCTTGACCCAGAATCGGTTTCAAGTCGATCCTCAGGATCAGCCAAATTTTATAATGCAGACGAGGCTGGATCAGAAGACGAGATGGAAATTATTGGTGAGTCAATCAGAGAGGTTGAGAGAGCCTCATCATTTGCCATGTCAGACCTGAAGTCAATAGCTGATTGTATGATCAGTTCTGGCTATGGTATAGAGTGTGTGAAGATATACAAAATTATCCGGAAGTCAATAGTGGATGGAGGATTGTTTCGCCTTGGAATCCAACAGTTCAAATCTCCACAAGTTCATAAAATGGATTCGGAAGGACTAGAAAGCATACTCAGGAACTGGATGGATGCTGTAAAGATTGCTGTGAAAGCACTATTTCGTGGAGAAAAATATCTCTGCGATCATGTGTTTTCAGCATCTGAGAATATCAAAGAGTCATGCTTCTATGAGATAACCAAAGAAGGAGCCACCACCCTATTCAGATTTCCTGAACTCATTGTGAAGAACAAGAAAGGCCCAGAAAGAATTTTCTGGCAACTGGAAATCTATGAAGCAGTCTCTGATCTTTGGCCGGAGATTGAATCTATATTCGACTCTGAATCAACCCAAGCTATAAAGCTACAAGCTCTTTCATCATGGCTCAAACTTTCAGATTCTGTTCGGACCATTCTTTCCGACTTCGAATCAACAATTCAAAAGGACTCATCAAAGATTCTAGTTTTCGGAGGTGGGATTCACCCACTGACCCAATCAGTGATGAACTATGTATCTTCACTAGCAGATTACTATGGAGTTCTCTCTGATATCCTTGCTGACCATCCACCACCAGGGAATTCATCATTTCAAGAATTCAAAAGCGTAGTGTCAGATGACTGTTCAACACCAGAAGTGTCAGTCCACCTAGCTTGGCTCATTTTAGTCCTTTTGTGCAAGCTTGACATCAAAGCTGAGATTTATAAAGACGTGTCATTGTCATATCTCTTCCTTGTCAACAATCTTCACTTCATTGTTGAGAAGGTGAACAACACACCCAACCTGAAACTCCTCCTCGGTGAAGATTGGGTATCTGAACACATGAAGAAGGTTAAACTGTATGCTTCAAACTACGAAACCACAGCTTGGACAAAGGTGTTATCATCATTACCAGAGAGGTCAGCAGACAAATCTCCTGAAATGGCAAAGGAGTGTTTTAGGAAGTTCAACACTGAGTTTGAAGAGGCATATAGGAAACAGACATCCTGGATTGTAGAGGATAGGAAGTTGAGGGATAACTTGAAGGTGTCAATTTCACAGAAACTAGTACCAACCTATCAAGAATTTTTCGACACATACATGGTGATGCTAAGTGGGGAGAAAAATATGGAGTTGTTGGTAAGAATTTCACCAAATGACTTGGGGAATTACTTGTCTGATTTGTTCCACGGGACTTCCGCGTCAGTTACTTCTACAACTTCATCTTCATTGGTGCCTTCTCAGAGATGCTTCCCCATCTAAAATGATGCAGTGCTATGACAATACAAACTGTACCATTTTGATGGCTGGTGCATGATACTGTGAGAAAAAGAACTGCCGACTTTCTCAAGCTTCAAGTTATTTCTATGATTAGAATATAGGGAATCATATAGTCGATTATACACAAATTAATGACATTATTATGTACTGTTATCTCTTCATTCACATATCGCCCACTTGGTCGCTACAGATCACTTCGGAAGTTTACCAAACTTTTTTATTTAAACCAAATGATGGTCATATAAAAGGATGTCTATTTTTGAATGCTTGATATTCCAAACAGAAAATATTAAACAAAACTAATTAGGTGATGCTACACAAAGTCAAACAATTGCAAATTATAAAGGTGTTAAGCCATTTTAAATAAACTCAATTGGGTTTTAAGCCTAAAATCTTTTTAATGTGCTTATTTAGCCTAATATGATTACTCTGGAAATATAATATTTAGCCTAAAGTTCACACACGCGCATAGAAAATCACAAGATATATATTTGCCTAACATGAATACTCTGGAAATACAGTCATCTATAGGATCCATATATGCATGCATGATAACAAGCATTAGTAAATGTATACACGTGTATGTGTGTTATGGAATACTTATCATAATTGATGGATTACTCCTTTAAGCTACAATAAAAAGATAGCGAATTTGGAGTTCATTCACTCAGCTTAAACAAAATTAAAACAGAAGTAAAGCATATTCTGTAACAGGATCTATAAAATCCTGTTATACATGTGTGATAATAAAAAGCTATACAGTTACCGCTTGCGCCTGCTCTGCTGGCCTATGAATGGATTGCCAACCTGTAAGAATTTGGAGAATAGTTTTAAGAGAATCTGAGGCGGCTTCCATAGTCCAATGTGGATAAAATTCGCTTGGATGGAACACGCATTCTTGATTGAACCCTGTTAATGCACATGGTTGAGCTCCGTTCAGGAATAGGTCGCCCTCAGATCTTATGAAGCCAGATTTTGCCTCTTCTCTGTCTGCTGCCTGTTGGAAGATTGCAAGCATTTAAGACAGAGTGTCTTCACAGACAATGGGATGCAAGTTGTAACCATTTTTTACTTAAAAAGAACTTACACATGTAGCTTATATTATTTTTAGTGTAAATAAATATCTTACTCACAAAAGCATGTGCGACATATTACTAATTCTAGGTTCTTTTACAAAGACTTGTACATTATTCTAAACTAACGCATATGATTGTGGCATCACTGTACCCTGTCTCAGAATTGAATAGTATTGTGGATGTAATGAACCTGCATTCTTCAGATTAATACCAAACTAACGATAAATGAGCGAGAGATGGTCATGTACCTTTTCTGTATAATATTCGAAAGTCTTTTTCTTATTTCCTGCTTCATATATGTTGCATTGGGAGTATATCTGATATAAAAAATGTAATTAGAATATGTAGAATAAATTCAACATATCAAGGAGATATTGAAATGAAAAGATATTAAAGAGGCCTCAGTTACCTGGGATTCTACGCTGGCACAAACAGCATATATACCCCAGTTTTGAGTGTAATTGTTGTAAAGATGAACTTTCCCAAATCTAAGGCGAGGTTGTCTCTGCCTTGTCCCATCGAAAAAACAATGATGAATTGTCACCCGAATGCATCTATCGCCAACGTGGGAGGGGTCTGCTCCAATAAGCATTGTCTTGTCATGTTGTGCGAAGTAACATCTGGTGCAAAGGAAAGAAGAAATCATAAGATACATTATCTCAGTATCCACATTTAGACCCTGTAAGGCACATCAGATTGAACCCACCTAGAGATAGTTATATCTGTACTTTGTCTGGTGATATCTATGAGTCCATCATCATAATCACGAAGGCTGCATCGGTCTATCCAAATGTGCCTAGAATTTGGTTTTATCTGAATGCCATCAACATCATGTCCTCTACCGCCTTGAAACTCAAGGTTGCAGACAATTATGTGTTCACATTCCTTCAGTCTAAGGCCCTTTCCTGTGAGCTTTACTCTCTGGCCTCGTCCATCAATTGTCTTATAAGATGACACACTCAAGTAAGACGAAAGGTGAATGGTGCCAGAAACCTCAAAGACAATCCACAGTGGTTCTTGTTTTCGACATCCTTCACGAAGTGAGCCTGGACCATCATCTGAATACCAAAACATAACATTTTATTTATCCCAAATGCAACATGGAAAGATTTCGAATTTCCATCCAGCCAATAAACAAAACTCACAGACCTAATATAAAGTTTCTTAGAAACAACCAAATTTCTCAGAAATGTAATAGTGATATTATCACTTCCACAAATCCAAATCCAAATTTTCTTTTTCGTTAGCAGCTGTTTATAAAATGTTCAATTTTTCCATTTTTCCATTCTTTTTTTGGGGTAGAAAGCCTGAAATATCATCAATGAGAAGGAAAAAAAACAGCTATGGGATCCAGGCTCCAGCCAATCTGGTCCCTTCTCCAGCCATGTGAGACAGTTTCTTCCAACCCCACATTAAATTTTGCTCAGAAACAAAACCCCACACAATATCAAGGATGGGATATGATATCCATATTTAAATTTGACTGCTACACAATCACTGACCTAAATGATTTTAAAAATAGCCAAGAAGTAAAACCAGACGAACCTGCCAAAGTGGTGACGAAATAGAGCGGCCCGTGGAGGCCGCCGATGGCGAACCGGCCGAAGCCCTCGGCCCGACCGGACAATGCTCTCAAGCTGAAATCCACGTCGGCGTACGGTAGCGAAGCCATGTCCGTCTTCCTGTGTCTGAAATCAAATTCTATTGGCCACCTGTGTATGAAGTCGTTAGTTAAATCTGGCGGTTACGAAATTACCTAAAAACGAACGTGCGGATCACAACAGCAAACTTACTTTTTTTTTTTTTTTTTTTTTTTTTTTTTTTTTTTTTTTTATGTTTACTTTTTTTTAATTACATCAATTTTTTTTTTAATGGAGAAAAAATTATGCATTTTTTTTAATAGTGCCTCCTCAAGTACAATTCTACATTTCCCACTTAAATCACTCTTTATACATGTCGTTGCCATTTAAAAAAAATCATTAGTGAAACTCTTTAAAATGCAAATTTTTTTTTACTATTGTATAGGGAGGAACGTAAGATTAATTTACTGAATTTTATATTCAAATATAAGTAATGTAGTATTAGTTTTGTTAACAAAAACCTTGCGCTCTTCATCCGTCGCTAACCCTAATAAGCTCTTTAATTTCTATTATTTTGTGTATGAGTATTTTGGTCGTTTCGTGTCAATTTTATTGAATCGTGAATTTTCATATCAAACAATGAAATAAATATGAAAGCATCATAATACTCTTGCATGTAGCCGGCTCATACACAAATTGACAAAAATTAAAATTAAACTAATATCCGTGAGGATACATACATATTATTAACGAGAAAGTAACTTGAATTAGGCTAGGTTAGGGTTCCAATCTCACGAACCATTAAAAAAAAAAGGAAAGAAAGAAAGATGCCCACAAAATGAAAAAGCCCTAGGACTTGGAGGCCCACATGTTCAAGAGTCTCATAATGAGCATGTACGGCTCTGATGATATGAATGGAAAGGCTGGCCCATTGGTTTATGGTGTCTTTCTTGCATCACAGGCCTTTACTTCACTCACACCCAACTCTCCTTACAGGCTGGATCTTTTCGATCATCATGACAAAATTTATGCATATATACAACGTAATTAATTCATAATTATACTAATGTTTTTAATTTCATTTTTTTAGCAACAATTATACACAAGGTGTACAACATAATTAATATTTAGTCCAAGATATTAGGAGAGATGATATGTATTAACTTCATCAAGCATTAATTGGACTTAAATTTGCAACATGCGAGCTTTCACATGTCACATCTAATGTTGTTTAGATCATAAAAAAGAGTTCCAAATTATAATCCACAATTTATAGTATAAAGTACTGAGCAGTGGTACTAGTTTCCACACAAAAGTAGAACCAAGTAAAAATCACTCAGCTTTTTCTCTCCATTTTCATGGAGCTTTTCATGGCAATGTGTTTATTGCCTCTGTTCTGTGCTTGTGTCTACCTCTGTAAGTTGGTTCTTCAATGGAGGAACCAACAATGCTACTTGCTGGCCTATGAGTGCTACAAGGCCACCGATGACAGGAAACTCGACACTGAGTCCTGTGTCAAAATCATTCAGCGGAACAAGAACCTTGGCCTAGAAGAATACAGGTTTCTCCTCAAGACTATTGTCAATTCGGGCCTCGGGGAAGAAACTTACGGTCCAAGAAATGTCATTGCTGGCCGCGAAGATTGCCCTAGCTTGGAAGATGCACTGTGGGAGATGGATGATATATTCTCTGTCACACTTGACAAGCTGTTTGACAAAACAGGAATTTCACCTTCGAAAATCGACATACTTGTTGTCAATGTGTCACTCTTCTCCCCTGCGCCTTCTCTAACGGCTAGGATTATAAACCATTACAAGATGAAGAAGGATATCAAGGCCTTCAACCTCTCTGGCATGGGCTGCAGTGGGAGCCTTGTGGCCATTGATCTTGTGCAGAACTTGTTCAAGACATACAAGAATGTACATGCTGTTGTTGTGAGCACAGAGTCCCTTGGTCCAAATTGGTACCGCGGCAAAGTGAAGCCTATGATTCTTGCTAACTGTCTTTACCGGTCAGGAGGGTGTTCTATGCTTTTCACAAACAACAAGGCTCTCAAGCACAGAGCCCTCTTGAAATTGGAATGCATTGTAAGAACCCATCTTGGTTCGAGTGATGAAGGCTATGGCTGCTCCATACAAGTAGAAGATAAACATGGGTTCAGGGGTTTTAGTCTCAGCAAAAGCATAGCCAAAGTTGCTGCCAAAGCTCTTACTATGAACCTGCGAGTAGTGGTGCACAAAGTGCTGCCGCTGACTGAATTGCTGCGCTATGTGATCATGTCTCGCCGCCAAAACAAAGTTGCTGAGCATCACCGCGGTGTTGGAGC